CCATTTGGCTTAGAAATGAAATGCATGGTGCATTCGGAACACTTGCAGATTATCGTGGATTTCGGCATTGATGAGGAAGCTCAAAGGCGGGTCAAAGGGAAGTTGATATTTGGTTTTATTTTTTTTTTACTTTTAGATAGCTCATGATCGTAGTGTACGACAGCTACTTTCAGCTGTCGTTGACACTGGAAATACATGTCAAGTACATGTCACACGACACCTTGTCGTGTACAGTGTATACGACAGCCCTTTGCGTGTAGTGCTAAATTTCAAGTCCAGTACACTATAACGAAAATGTTGACGTTGACACAGTCAGCGTCGCCCTGACATTTGCTGGTTTTCGGGCGGTGACGTGTACAGTTGACATGCGTCCTGACATACACCCACAGCAAGTCACTGTAGTGTGGACATGCACTGTGACCACCAAAAGTCTACCTCAACTTTTATCATTCTCAAGAATCCCTCAACCTTAATCATCTTACACTCATCCTCCCCAACCCACACCATGCCATCACAACCCCTCAACCCAGCTCAGGAGAAAAAACGAGTTCTTGCATTGGTGGCTTGTGGAGGAGATTCGAATCGCGCAGCGGATGGCTTGGATGGTGTGGTGGCAGGGATAGACATATTGTCAAGGCACCTTTCGAGTCGAGCGATCGTTCCCTCGTATACTTGGGCTTGAGCAGCCAAAGCCACGGAGATCACGGCTTGAATTTCGGGGGGAATTGCATTTGAGTTCGGGATAGAAGACATTGTGATTCCGGGAGGATGGGTACATATAAAGAGTACAAAGTTCGGATTGGATCAGAAACTAAAATGGCTCACGTGTGCGCTGACATTGCCCTTGACGTACACCTATGTACAGTCACAGGACGTGTAAACGTCAGGGCGACGCTGACCTTCTCAACGTCAAAGTTTTCGTTGTAGTGTGATAGTGTAAGCAGCCGTGTCTGAGTGGTTTTGGTGATACCCTACTACTAGACTTCAAATCTAGGACGTGGGGGTTTGAAACTCCCGGTGCAGGTTTGAACCACATCGGTGTCCCTTTTTGCTGACGCTTGGAAGCAAAAGTTTGCGACACCAAATCTCCTCCACCAAGATAAAATCTAAAGGTGCTGAGGAATTTGAATCTTCAATGTTTTTTGATAGGAAACAGTTCTTTGTGTAACAGCAGACAGGTAAGTCTCTCTCCTCTCGCTCCTCTCACTCGCACGCCTGGTCCATTGGGAAGTTCCCGTCCAAGGTGGGTGAAGAAGGGATGAACCGAGCCGGAGGAGGGAAACGATATAGCTACACATACAAGCATATGCTACTAGTGTTGTGCTATGTACTGCTGTCTCTGTACTGTAAACCCATATTTCATACCCATATCTCAACACTTTGGTGATAGTAGGGGGGGGGGGAAGTGATATACTGGAAGTGCTAGGAGGGAACATTGACTGAAAATTAGCGAAACAATAATTTTCTCTATTAGGGGTTTCATATTGGCCTTTAGGGCTGCTCAAATTTCTTGAAATCCTTGCTCGTTTCCGTAAATTCAACGTAAATTTTACAACAAAACTGTCTTGTTTTTGAGAAGACCGTAAGACAAAAACAATCAGAAATCAAGAGGTGCCTGTCCGACACAGGCCGCTATTTAATGGGGTTCCGATGTGCAAGGTTTTGACTTGAAGCCTGGCTAGGTGCCATGAGAGTGGAACTAAACCACAGTATCCTACCTATGGATGCAGAACCTAGTCCAGGCACTACAAAGCTGCAAGAAGCAAGGCCCGTGAAAACGAGCAGAGCGGTTGGACCTCTGAACTAAGATTCAAGTAAAAAGGTTTCATTGCCAAATATTTTACTAGTGCTCAAAACCAAATTTACAATTGCTTGAAATTTTCAAGCTTGAAACCCCCTATTATATAGCATCTTGTAACAAGCAATGTAGACAGGTGAGGTGGCTATGATGGGGAAACACATTGCGTTCAAATCCAAACACAATTCTCAGTAAGCGTCCGCACTTTGAAAAAAAAAATTATCTGTGCTTGAAATTTCATATCTGCACAGCCTCTGTGTCCTCCGGTGCTAATTGCATTGGTCTTATTAGGTAGGAATAATAGTTCCCTACTGACTGTGTACAAAATAGTATAGAAAAAAGTGCTCCAAAACCCAAAAAACTTGATTTGGTCTCTTAATACGTGATACTTGACTTCTTTGCACTTGTTGCTTACATAAGCGAGATGGCGCAGCTGGTAGCGCGCTGGGCTCATATGCGCCGGTCTTGTGGGCGCAAGGATGACCCAGAGGTCGTCGGATCGAAACCGACTCTCGCTATTATTTTTCTTTTTTCTGTAGCGAGCACTGCCACGCCAGAGCGTCTTCCCGCCCTTTTCTGTGGGATGGGCGAGCCGTGAAGAAAGCTTGGGTGGGTTTCTCAAGTTGGGGCATAGATAGCCACTTTTCGCCCAGGTTAGGTTAAAACCTGTTGGGAGGTTTTACGGCACTGCAAAAGGTCATTTTTCCATCAAGTTTATATTTCTTTGTCATGGTTAAATGCAACAGCATACGTCTCGAGCACCTGAAATAAAATGCCACACTGCCACAGGTGGTGTGCCCGATGCGGCGGGTTAAAACTCGAAGTGTGTGTTTCAAGATCAGCGGGATTCGGAGCGTCGTTTTGATCCACTTGCTCTCGGGCTCGGGGCCACACCCATATCTCTCCATGCCATCTCGTTTGAGACGCTGATCAGCCTCGGTAAGCCCAACTTCAACATCATGGTTGACAATTCCGAGTTGACTTTAGCTGATAGTACTACGCAACTACCAAATATTTCATCCAAAAAGCTAGCCAAACTCAGGAAGCAGCACCTAGAGGCCCGTGCCCGTGTCAACGACACCGCTACCGAAGGTCCGGGTGCCTTTCGGCGTGCCGAAAAATACTACAAAACCCGGCTGTGGGATCCCGACTACAAGCAGGCGCTTGGCGGTAATACTCTTCCGGAATCGAGTGTAAGAACAGGTGTCGCCAATGGAGTTCATTACAATCAGCTTATCATTCCCGAACCTCCGAGCCCGAGGTGTGAGGCATGTGGAGGTCCAACGGCGCCTCTTCGACTTCTGACTTTCCCCGATCGCTTTCCCGGGCTCATTTACCTTCCCAGCTACCTGTGTGAGCACCAGCAAAGGGCGTTGATAGCCGATTCTCTCGAAACCAGCCTCCGACCACCGAATGTGACGAATATAGACACACATTGGACTATGCCTGAGGGATTCTCATGCGGGCTGTTTGATTTATATCGAACATGGCGCTCACAGGTCATTGCAGGATCCGATCAAAAACGGGATGCAAGGTTTTGGCTCCAGCCACGTGCTTCCCTGCTACCGCCTCCATCAGCTCGGCCCCCACAGCAACCATTATCTACAAAGCGGGTAACAGTCGATCTTGAACCCATCACAGCAGAAAATTATCTCACAGCTCGAAACGAGTTGCCAAAGCAGGATCCAATACCCTCTGAGACGGTCAAGCCAATCCACGTGTCGGATGTTTGGATGAAAGGTAAATTACGGTGGTGTACGATCGGGTGGCAATATCATTGGACGACAAAGACATATCACTTCGAGAGGGAACCGACGCCGATCAGTGAGCTAGTGAGCTCGACGTGTATTCGGCTCGTAAACCAGGTAGTACCTTGGGAGCTGATATGTCCAACAACGCCAGACAATCGGCCTGGCTGGCGCAATGGGTACCGACCCGAGGCAGGCGTAATCAACTTCTATCAAGTAATTTTTTCAAACCGTTGAATGTAAACAGTGTGACCAAGAAACTGATTGCGCCTCCATTGCGGCAGTACAAGGATTCACTCACGGCACATATCGATCATTCTGAGGTATCGCTTGACAGTCCACTCGTGTCCCTTTCTATCGGAAATTCCTGCGTATTCCTCATCGGACCTAGTAGGGAGGATCATCCACTTGCACTTAGACTGGAGAGTGGGGATGCCCTCATCATGGCTGGCGAGAGTCGTCGGTTCTTCCATGGTGTGCCCCGAATTATCGAGAACAGCCTACCATCTTGGCTCGCCCAGGAGAAGCGGGAATTGTGGGCAGAGTGGTTCAAGAATGGTGGCCGGATCAACCTAAACGTCCGGCAAGTGTTCTGAGGCAAGGGAAATGGGTCAATACCTACATGTACCAATAAATCATGTATACCGTTTTTGGTGGTCAGTGATTTTCCTCAGTCAGAAGAAATGTTAATTCTGTGCCATGCACACTGACTATAAACAAATGTGAAAATTATGTTCTAGGAAAGCAACTTTGATATGGACCCGCAGATCAGCACATTTCCGAGATGAGAGCCTTAGGATTGCTTACATTTTTGCGTTGGGTCAATCCAGCCTTTCAGCTTACAGTCAAAAATATCCTTTGAATGCAAATTTCGTTGGTAACATCTTGCTTAGGAACACCTTTCAGGTCTTTTGGCCAAACAGCCTTGTGAAGTTTTTACAGTCACATGAACGTGTTGGCTGTATACCTGAATTTTATGGCAAGATGTTAGTACTTCTCTATTCAAAAAAATGGGGTTTGTTAGCTCCGAAACCTGCTATCCAAAATTGTTTTGTTTAATGGTATCGCTAATGCGAAGCAGAAACATTTTCAAAATATTCAAGCTGAAAGGCAGGCACTGCTGTGAAGGCTCGTATTTATACCCATTGTAAAAAAGTTTATTGGAGACAGAGAGCCGTATACCGCATAGCAGTAATACCCATCTTCGATCATTTTGGTTGATGAGAAAGAAACCTCTACATCGAGGTAAACAAAGCGGTATGGTGATTGACTGAGAATGCAGGAATTTGAAGAAACTCCGGAAAGAAACGTGTCCAGAATTGAAACAATGCGTTCGATCCCAGCTAACTCTTTGTTGAAACATCAGAGATTTGAACACTCGGAATGACTCCTTTCAGACTTCATCAAGGGATTTCATTAGATACACTTTACAGGCCCATGACCTTCATGTTTTGCACATCCAAGAAAAACATATTAGTGGTGCAGGAGGATTTCCTTGAAACCTGAAATCAATGAAATCCTCAGCTTCACAATACCAATGACAAATTTGTGGTGGATGGCTGTGTCCAAGGTCACATTGACCCTGTCCATATGAGGGTTGCTTCTTGACAGGAGCAGTCAGATAATAATTTTGACTTTACAATTGTTCCAGCTAAGTCTACTTCCAGAAACGCACAAACTTACTTATTCTTATGTAGCTACTGAACCATTTCTGGGTGATGCAACAGAACTCACAAATTTTTCTCGCACCCCAACATCAGTGTGCAACAATGGGACAAGAATGTACAAAGGCCTAAGGTACAAGTTCATGCTTTGGAGGTACTTCAAAGGTGATGGTAAAATTTTCATGATTGTCTCTTGTTGATGAGTAAGTCCCATATGGAGAGGCTTATTGGATGCAGCCTTATAATAAAGATACATCATTATTCAATATATCCATCTTGTCTTGGATCATTTTTGAGCCGGAAAATGATGCATTGTAAGTGTCTATGTACACATTATTATCAAACCAACAGGTCAGAACAACAAAGGAATGATCTTCACATACCTCTTCAGGTCCATGGGTTTACCCAAGGGACGGGAATACACAGTTGCATTCACATGATCAAAGGGCACAAAGCTTACTAACTGGTGAAAGGGCACAAAACAGTTTAAGTTCTAGGAGGAAGTTTATGACTTGAATGCATGCATGGACCTGTATAACACTTTAAAGGTTTTTTTGAAGAATGTATTTATTGTTGTTCATCTAAAGTTTGCTGCAACCGCTATTCCTTCATCCCTTTGGCAAACAATTTGAATCCAGGGTTTGCATTTTAGTATTCACATCTTTTATAGGAAGTATCCCATCTAAGGTTTGATATATGTACACATCTTGAACAGATTTATGACCTCACCAACCTTTAGATGTCTTTCCTGAACTTTGACATATTAGAGTTCAAATTCAAACCCATTCAAATATTGTACAATCAAGGTGGCATAAGTTCCAGGAATGTGATTTGCAAAAGTCATCCTTTCTCAAGCCTATAAAAAATTTTGGGGGACAAGTCCATGGGTTGAGTGAGGAACTTATCCCATGGCAGTACTTCTTGGTGGTAGAAGTTTGAGCCAAAATCAAACTTTAGATTGAGTTTGGATCTACACCTCTACCCCTGTTGTACCATGAGAGGTACAGTTGAAGTCTCAACATAAAGTCCTCTGCAAGGATATATTATGTAGATATGTCTTAGCAATGGTTAAACTTCAATAATGAGAACATAATCTAGTGCCATTGAAGTCCAAGAACTCTTGAGGTGATTTAAGGTTCTTACATTACAAAATCCTGAAAAACAAAATTTGAGACGTCAAAAATCATTGGCTTCTCAATTTTGGGTCGAACTTGCTCTCAGTACAAGCAAGGTATCTGAATTGGCCAATTGGTTAGGAATAGACAGACAGAGGGCTAGCGCTAGTATGGCATACTTTCCCAGCTAAAAATCTCATACTATGAACACCAATGGTGCTGACCTTGACACAAATCCCTATCACAAGTCTGGGGGAGGGTCTGGTGATTTGTAACATAGCGCTTAGGTTGAATTGGGTCTAGACCCCATAATTGACCACAGTAACAGGCTGTATCAATACATCCTCCTTTCATGCTGCAGGGTCGGTGAATAGGCCCACGACCATGAATGATTGTTTCAGGCCGAGCTAAGTCAAGGCTGTACTGATTTAGGATAGGTACATAAGCGTGGGTTAAGTTTTTAAGTATCGGATCTCCTCACCGATCCAATCCGGCAGCATCTGTATGACGTCGGTTGCACAGCCTCGCAGTTCAACACAGTTCGGTTAGCAGTGCATATATCCAGCTCGCCGATTGACTTTTACGTTTCAATACAGCCTCTTCCTCTCTCTTCGCCCATCATCTCTCTACATAATCCATCCCCTGACTTAACTCAGCAACATCCAAGCTCACTTTTCTCACACTCACACTCACTCAGACTACTATATCATGAATTCGGCACCGCCACCCTACTCTTCGTCATCGGGAGCCTACAACGACCCATCATTCAACACCGCCGCTTCATACACGGGTTATACCCCCAATCCGGTCTCTACCACTTCTTCTTCTTCTTCTTCTGTCCAGAATGGGGAGCGTGGGCTTGGTGGGCTAATCGTCGGTCTTGGTGCGGCGGCGATGCTCAATAACGCATTGAACAACAATCAGGCCCAGGCAGCACCCTTGGCAAACGGGGGGACGACGAGCGGAAATGGGCGCGAGGATCCGTTAGCGA